ATTTATATTCTTATTTTAATACAAATAATGATAAAAAAAGATGCTGAGGCAAAGGAGCTATATAGTTATATATATTCACATCTGTGAATCTATATAACTTAATAATCTCTTATCTCAAAATATAAAATTTGATTTCAAATCATCATTCAGTTGAATCTTTTCTTTTGTGCAGTCAATTTAATGAGTGATTTTATGAAGACTTATTTAGAATATGTTACAAACTACAACAAAAGTACAGACTACAACAAAAATGAGAACAAATATATACCTGTTGTGACAAATATATCTAAATCTTCAATATCACTAGTACTACCTTAAAAAAGGGAAAGTAAAAAAATGCAAATCATAAAAAAAATTTTGTTTAAAACCTTTAATTTTAAATAAAACAAAAGTACAAAAAAAAAACTTTATACTTAAACATTGGTTGCAAAAATTACAACCATCTACAACAAAAAATTTGTTGCAAAGAGCACACGACATTTTAGGAGTGCAACTTGTCTTGAAAAAAAAAAGATATATATATATATATATATATATATATATATATATATATATATATATATATATATATATATATATATATATATATATATATATATATATATATATATATATATATATATATATATATATATATATATATATATATATATATATATATATATATATATATATATATATATATATATTTAAATATATATATATATATATATATATATATATATATATATATATATATATATATATATTTATATATATATATATATATATATATATATATATATATATATATATATATATATATATATATATATATATATATATATAGTAAAGAAAAAAATAGCTTATGATAAATTTTAATCCTTGTTTTCATACATTTCACCTAAAAGCGATTTTAGTTCTAGTTTTAAATATATATGATTGACATTACTTATTTGCTGTAAAAACAATTTTCTGTACCGGCTTACGATCAAGTAAGTAACAATTTTCTGTACCGGCTTACGATCAAGTAAGTGGTTTAAAAAACAAAAAGTTTATAAATCTTAACATGCGCTCCCGGGGTTGCAATAACAAACAACAAGTTGCGATAACGAACAAATTGGTTGCAAAAACGAACATAGGCCGCGTCACGTTGCTTTACCGAACAAATGAGTTGCAATACAGAACACTTGCGTTGCTCTACCGAACATCCATATGATCATCATCATCATCATCATTATCATCATCATCATCATCATCATCATCATCATCATAATCATCATAATTATCATCATCATCATCATTGTTTAACGCCCTTGTTTCTGTGCTTGCACGGGTTTCACGTTTCTCATAATGCCATTTCTCCAACATACATGGTCTTGAATATCTTTTTACATCTTCGTACCTTAAATGTAGCTTTTTCATCTCAAACACACTCTTTCCAAGTTTTTCTGTTTCTACCTCTACCTTTTTCTCCTAAAACGTCTAACTTTCTACATGCTGATAACCAATCATCTGCCCAAACGACCTCATTCTTCCCTGACGCACCCTATCAGATAAGTCACCATGCCTAATCTTTTTCTTAAATCATCACTGCTTTTCTTGACTTTTAGAGTCACCGCGCACATTTATCTAATCATCATCCTTTCTGTTTTTTTCCAAATGCTGAACATCATCAACCTTCAATGCTCATGTTTCACTGTCATACATCATAACACTCTGTATGTATATGCTGTATAACTTTCCTTTAATCTTTAATGAAGCATCTCTTGCTGTTAAAAGTGGAGATAATTCTCTGAACTTCGCCCAATCATACCTTACTCTTACCCTAGATGCTACTTCTGCTCCACCAGCTGATCCAATTGTATCTCCAAGATAACAAAATTTACTAAAGGACTCTATTGCTCCTCCGTTTATTATATCAACCTTTTTTCTAACTTCTTCTCTATGCTCACCAACGGTACATTTTCTACACTCAAAACCAACAATCTTGATTGAACATTGTATACCACTACATCTCTTATGAAACCATTGCTTACAAACTGTACAAAATATGGAATTTGTTCCAACTCTCTTCCTACACGCTCCACACACACACACATATATATATATATATATATATATATATATATATATATATATATATATATATATATATATATATATATATATATATATATATATATATATATATATATATATATATATATATATATATATATATATATATATATATATATTTCTGAATATATGTATAGTTTGTATTAATATTTTAACGTAATTATAATAATTATTACAACAAATTTTGGTTTTCTGTGTAATTAAAGTTGGTTCATAAACTAGCATCAATGTATTACTTGTGTTTATCAGCCTTAAGTTTTATTCAAACTGATTTGGACATTTTAATGGACATTACAAAGAAATAGTTGCGTTTTATTTAAAGAAATAGTTGCACTTTAGTTAAAAAAGTAGTAGCATTTTAGTTGAAGAAATAGTTTTAGTTTGCAAAAACTTTGTTTTTGGTTCAAAATGTCTACTCACTTTATGAATCAAAAACAATGTTTTTGCAAACAAATTTAAACTTTCATTGTTAAAATATTATGTTGGGCCAATGTCACAATTTGTTCAACATCGGAAAACTTTAATTTGAGGATTTACTTAAATAGCTGTCGTCTGTATCTTGTTAATAATTACATCGTTAAACTTTAACATAATGCATCATTATCAAACATTTTTATACAAATTTACCAAAACGATTTGCTTAAAATTTTATCAAATTCCGTTTTTAGTTAGCTGTTGGTCATTTAATTTATAAGAAGTTAAAAATTAAAACATAAACATATTGAATCACAATAAGAAGTGGATGTTATATTACTATATTATATTATGTTATACAACATGTATTAGATATTTTTAGTAAATACATATGTTTATTTTAGATAACAGATATTGTGAGTAAGTGAGAAAATACCTCAATCCTGTTTTATAGCTTTTATTTTGCATCAAAATAGTATGCCGTTAACATGTCCAAAATTATAATATAATATATTACTTCTTGTTTCTGTATTGTCTTTATTGTATGTTTTTATGTTTAATTATATGCATTTGCGGCATTTTAATGGTAATATAATATTTTATAATATCTGTATAATAGAATTGCGAATTTTTGGAGTGAAATATTGATACTATTTTTCAATAATTTTCTTTTTAGACGTGACATTAAAAAATGAAATCAATATCAACAAATGTGCTAATTATTTTTTAAATAATGTTTTGTTGTCATAATTATGCATGTAATATATCGAAAAAATTATTTTATTATATTTTTCCTTTATGTGCATTTTATTTAAATATATAGTACATATGTTTGTCGATTTTTATTTTGATACAAATTATTTATTAAAAATATTTTTAGTTTTAATATACTTATATATATATATATATATATATATATATATATATATATATATATATATATATATATATATATATATATATATATATATATATATATATATATAAACACACAAATGTCTGAGTTATAATTCTTATAGTTTTACCAGCAGTCCAGCAGTTATGGCAATGTCTAAAGCTCGTCAAACCAAAGATGCAAGGTCAAAGATTTCTTTCAAATTGTATAAAGAGGAGCATTCGAACGTTATAGTTACTCTCAAGCGAAGTGAAGATTCAAGATATGTAAGAATGCTTAGCAGTTGAGATGAACATTAATATGTTTGAATATATTTTGTACAAATATTTTAACATAATTATAATAGTTATTGCAACAAGTATAGATTTTCTCGATGTAATTGTTAAATTAAAGTTTATTTATGATCAAGTTTTATTTAAACTTACTTGGACATTGCATTTTAATGAACATTACAAAGAAGTAGTTGCACTTTTAAAAATAGTTGCACTATTTAAAGAAATAGTTGCACGTTATATAAAAAATTGGTTGGACTTTATTTATAGAAATCGTTGGTCTTTATTTTAAGAATTAGCTGCGCCTTTTTTAAAGAAATGCACTCTATTTACGTTGCACTTTAGTCAAAGAAATAGTTTTAACTTGTTTGCAAAAACCTTGTTTTCGATTCAAAAGATAAGCACACCTTTTGAATCAAAAAC